CCCCAAAACCCCAAAACCCCAAAACCCCAAAAATCATAAAACAAATTGAATTTTATTTTCCTAGCTCAATGTTTAACAGCAAATGGAGACGGTTCTCCACAGAGTTCGACCTTAATAAAACTGAAAGCTTATGGAGTAATACACATGATAGCCTTGGTAAGAGCTTAGTATAATATGCTATATAGACGGGATCTTCGGAGATAACCTCATGCCACCTAAACCTAAGAAAATATTTAGTAAGAACAGCACTCCTTGAATTCTAAAGTTTCTTAGACTAATTCTTTATCTTCTAGTAAATCCCAAAATTATCCGGAACAAAGATCTCCTGCAGTACAATAATAAAATCAAAGAGAAGGTAAAATAAACAAAGAAAGGATATCAAACTTCACGACCGGTAAGCGCCTTGCATGAAATTTAGAAAAACATTAGAAGCCAAAAACTCTAGAATGAAAAAGCTCATTAGAAGTAAGGCGAAAGTGTTACCAATTAGAGTACAAAACAAATCGAGAGAGAACTGAACAGAGGGCTTTTAAGAAGGAAAATGAACTTTCATTAAGTATCGAGGGAAAGAAACCGACAAATCAGTTCAGGTCGTTCAACATCCAATCGATAAATTCTATTAATACTCTTGAACCCAAGTATTTAAAGAACAAGTCCTTTGGAATGTTCACTACTAAGAATAAATAAGTCTGTGAGGTTTAAGCTGCATAATCCTGATCCAAACCCTCAACATGTAAGATTGAGCAAGAAGATGGAGAATTTTAAAGGTGCTAGAACTTCAATTAAGCCATCTCAGGTCACAATCCAGGCATTTACTAAGAACCAGGGGCTAAACCAGGATTTAGTTTTCCAACAGCAGCAGATTAAGAGAAAGAATGAAGATCTGAATTATTTTAGACATGCAGGCACTGCAAACAAAAAAGGCTCTACCTCTTCCTTTGCAGATGAAGATGTAGATCCGATCTCTGTGAAGAGTAATTTTGGTTTAATAACAAAATAGTGAACTCAATTTTTAGAAAGGTTAACCAAGTAAGCCCTCACATGCCCACTGATGCCAAAGATCTTGGTTTGAATGAATTTGGGTTAAAGACAACTCCTTTCTTCAAACTAAAAATGGATGAATCATTCCAGGAAGCTCTTAAGAGCAATAAAGCTTCAAAAGAACAGAGTAATTGCTTGCTGTAACACTAGACATGATCTATAAAGACTCTCTCCAATCAAGAAGAAGTTCAGAAGAAAGTGACTTGTTTAATAAATTATCTGAGAAACTTCAGATGCCTCATCCTACATTAAAGTCTAAGATGACAGCAAAGGCACTCAGAATGAGGTATTTATTAACTCTAACACATCTAGCTCCTTTGATAAAGGTACAAGGATTTTATCAAATATAGACTTTAAGAAGGTAATCAATGGCATAATTAAGGTTAATGACAAGAGGATTAACTCCCATTTAAAGAGCTTAAAGGTAACCAAAGGTATGTTTTCTAATACCTCGCACAATAAGGGAAGAATCCGTCTTCTCCACAAAGATAAATAGTCGTCTTCAGCAAAATTATTTATTGAAGGGGTTTTGGGGTTTTGGGGTTTTGGGGTTTTGGGG